TGAAGCTTCTTAAACATTTTAAAAACCTTATTTACTTTACATCCAACAATAGTTTAGTTATATATTATAGACTTATAGAAAGAAACCGTCTAAAAACATTCAAATGTACTACTGGCACGTGAAACCTTAAATTACAGTGAATAAATGAAGACTCGGCACACCACTTCTGAAAGATTGCCAACCCCCGTAATTTATACTTTAAAGAAAGCAGGAGAATAAAAGTAATAGAGAGAAGCTGAACATTTGCTCATGAATAAAGAAAGAATCTGTCTTCAGAGATGTGAATGCTATATATGGGATTTAGGGTTTTGTTTGTTTTTAATAATTGATCTATTTTTTTACACCAGAATCCAAGATTAGCATAATACACTGATTTCAGTAGTTTCTGTGTTCACTTACCTGTCTGAAACAGCTCTGGCCTTCAACAGTGCTGCTGTGTAACATATTGCTGCTGATTTTGGAAGACTGATATCTACGGTACAATAAATAGTTAACTTTACGATTCTAAAGTAAGACAAACATTTTAAATCTGTCTCCTCTGAGCTGAATGATTTGCATTTGGGATGGCCCATACAGTAAATTCAACATCTGGAACATTTCAGTTATGACTAGAAACTTTCAATTCCTTAACTGCCTTGCACCAGTCCCCAAAATCCTCTTTCAGAAAAATCCCCTGGTTTTACAGTCCCAGTTGCAGGGTCAGGAATTGTTCCTCACCACTCATTTCTGAGCATAGTTATCAAATATGATGCTGTAAAACTGAATTTATACAGAGTACATTATCGGGTTAAACACTTTTAGAAAGCGCCTTCAGCTGTGTTTAACACCACTCTCAGTATTAAAATAAATAATTTTTAACCTTCAACTTACTTTTTGCATTTCATAACTTAAAAATATAGTAGTCAGTTTCTAGTAAATTTCATTTTCCAAGTTCTCATACATTAGCACCTTTCAACATTGAACTACAAACACTAACGGGGAATTTAACTAAAATATCTTACCATTTAATTATTTTTAGTTCTATGGAAAAATATCTATTAATTTTAGTTTCTGTAAAACCTAAATTTATACAAAGCTTAAATTTGGTTCCAAATTTGACCTGACTGTCTTTAGGAGAGTTAAAATTCTACAGTACAAGGTTATTGTAAAAATAGATAAAAGATTCTGTTTCTAAATAAATTCCTGAATACTAGTCTATGCGTACCAGTTGAACGCCTCCTGTTTTTTAAAACCTCTCTCAGGCTTGTCCATCATGTAACAAGCCAGCCAAGCATCTGGCAAGTACCATATGGGAAGGATTTCTTGCAAGTTTCTCTGAACAGCCCTCTGAAGCTCATCCTAACTGTTCCAGATGTTTAGAAGGAATCAGTGCCCCCTAAATTAAATAAGTGTCAAACTTTCTGAAGTCAACATGAAAAAAATTCATGACCACGTAAATGTTTTTTACCGTGTTAATGAAAAATACCTGCACAGCACAGCATGGGTTGAGTAATATCAGCACACTGGCCATACACTTGGGTATTAGATTCTGGCAAGAATCTCATGCCACTTATTCCCTGAAGCAATAGTGAATAGAGGCATTATGGAACACACTGACTCCTGGGTGCGTGGAAGAGTGACAGAAACATTGCTTCTATAGGCCTCCTCTCTGAAGTTGATTTAAGGGACAGTTCTCACAGTGACTTGGGTGTAACATTCTGGTCCCCGACCAGAAGAAAAACTGCTTTGGGAAACACTTATGTGTTATAACTCTAGGGACACAAACAAAATAGCTAGGCTCTTCCACAGAAGAATATCTAAGCATATGGCACACTGGAAGCAGGTCAGCCTGGAGGACTAGTAACTCTGCAACATAAGGGATCAAATGCTTGAGTCCTGATCTCTCTGGCAAACAGGGTCCAAGAGTGGTATGAAAGACGCAGGCCAGGCAGTAGGGAAGACTGCCGCTTTTCCGCTCACTCGCATTGACTACTCTGGTGAGGGGGGCAGCGCATTGACTGAGAAGGGCTGAAAAAAATCCATTAGCAATGAAGGAACTGGGAGAGGTACAAAAAGAGTGCTCCTGGAGCTTATTTTGCCCCCACTACACAGAGCAGTTATATTTGTTCACGGATTAAAACTGAGGTTTGAGGAATGTCTGTCACATGCTCTATGTTAACATACAGAATGGCAAACATGAATGTTTTTATGCTTCATGACAAATGTCACTTACCATCATACTTCGCTAAAACTGCCTGGACATCAGCATACGCCTGTAATTCCAGCAGTGCCTCCAGAAGGTTTTCGTGAATATTCAACATACTAAGAAGTGGAAACTCTTTCATTAACTGCACATCAGAAAAGAGAAATAACTCCATTTTACTCACACTTACCATAAGCGGGATTTGAAAACACAGAAAGCCCTTTGCCTTTATTTATTAAAATGGTAGTTTGGGCACAATAACCCAAAATTTAAGACCAACAATAATCTAATTTAGCCAAATAAGATTTGTCTGGTATTCATGCTTCAAATTATGCAAGGTCACAAAAGCCCAAAGAAATCAGGCCCTCAACTAGTTCTTCTGTGGAAATCCAGAAAAAAAAGTTGATAAATAACCCAACTTAGGCTTTGTAATTCTTCCTGCCAATGCAATAGACACACTTACTTATATTCAATCTGTTAACCAAAGCAAGTATCCATAAATTGCTCCAAAATACAATATCAGAATTTTATTCATTTTCCAGTGTTGTTTAGGTCACTGTTTTACATCCTTAATAAATTATCAGCTCTGAGCTGCTAAACCAAACCAGATGATAAATCTAATCACATTGTTCAATAAATTCAGCAAGGCATTCAGATAAAATAGAGTACATAAATATTCAATGCAATGGTTTCAAGAACTTAATGGCTGATGTTCCTTTTCATCCTTTACTTCTTCCCATCTCTCTCTGCCCCCCTGCCACCGAAAAGACCACCACAATTTTCTCTACATTTATCTGCTCAGTACACTTGTTTCCCAGGTGTTCACACAATGTGCTCCCATGACTTGGCTAGCTGCACAAAGTGGTCGGTTTGATCTATAATACATGCCTGTGTAAAAATAATGTCGCATCCACCTTGGGCAAGTGAAAGAAATAAAGTGCCATCAGGGGCGGCTCTAGCTTTTTTGCTGCCCCAAGCACGGAAGGCAGGCAGCCTTCGGCGGCTTGCCTGCGGGAGGTCCACCAGTCCCGCGGCTTCGGCGTACCCGCCACCGAATTGCCACCGAATCCACGGGACCAGCGGACCTCCCGCAGGCATGCCGCCGAAGGCTGCCTGACTGCCGCCCTCACAGGGATCGGCAGGGTGCCCCCCGTGGCTTGCCGCCCCAGGCACGCGCTTGGAGCGCTGGTGCCTGGAGCCGCCGCTGAGTGCCATAGTACGAAGCATAGAGTATAGCTACTTTAACAAGTTAATCATCAAGCCAAACATAAGGAGAAATGGAAGGTAAAACTCTAAACACGTTAGCCATATTATGTACATATATACTTGACAGATATCAAAAACTAAAATTTTCTTGAAAACATTCGTATCTCACTATGAAACTCAGTCACAACCTAATTGTTCCATCACCTCCACTGTGCTTTTAAGCTAATAACTCTATTGTCCAAATTATACAAGTTGTTTACATTTTATTTAAAATGACTTACATCTCTCATAATTTTTACTGCTTCTTTTATTCTTCCAAGTTTTCTTGCACACATGGCTAGTCTCCTTTTCACGTAAACCAATACATTGGTGTCTCTTCCTGAGTAAAAATATAAAACAATTAATCTCCATTCTAAAAACTCACTTTCAATCTTTATTTTGTTAAGATTCATGTTAAGATATGCTTAGTTGTAGAAAGGGAGTAATAAAAAAGGATTGCGGGATGTGTTGTGGACATCTCTCTAATAGAGTGCCTAAAATGGCATGAGATGACATTATTCCCCAAGAAAGAATGCACAACACTCTTTCCCTAATCAGCAGCAGAGAGAAGTAAGAGTATGGAATAATCACCTATGCTTCCCAGACAAAATTCTGGCAGTGGTCCACCAAGAAAAAGACCAAACCCAGCAATTCATTTCAGCTAGGTTCCCAGTCATCATATGGCAAGAACTTTTGAGTTTCTGTCCATCTGTTGGGTGGGATAAAATCAGTGACCAATGGTGAACTGCACCATTAACGCTTAAAAATCCTTCTATTATTCCCCACCACCAGAGTATCCTATCAAGACATTAAGATACACTGCCACGTATATGCACAGGCCCAACAAGGCAGAGTGACGTATGCTACTGTGATGACTACAAGCTCTATCTGCTTTTTTATAGATTTACTCATATGCAGACCATATAAAATTCATACAGCATATTATGCTAAAGTGGAATTACAGAATAAGTATTAACAATGATGCTCTTTATCAGGGTTTGGTGTTTCAACTGCTACCCTAAAAACAATCATACTTCTTTCATTTTGCTTTTGTGCTCAAACAGAAAAATCTGTAACTATTCAGTGCAAAGGTGCTTACTAAGCTGCGCTTCATGTTGGGAGTTTTGGGGATGGCAGTGCTGAGATTTTCTGTAAACTGTTTCGCCTGCTTTTAGTGCCTGCTTAAAATACTTCTCAGCATCTATAATAGTTGTTGCTTCTTCCTCAGCTAGGAGAACATATGCAGTGGCACAACTGTAATGGAAACAAAAAAAGAAAGCCACAGACTACTCAGATGGAAGTCAGTTGTAAGGATTTTTTGCACAAGAAAGTAATGGCATCAAAGGTATCTATGGGTTTTGTCCTGTATGTAGTACTTGAAAGTTTATGAAAACCCATTACTAATGAATAAAAATGAAGCATGCAAGAATCCTTATCAAACACCCTGTGAAATATATGGTACCTAGCAGAGTATTCACTGGACTGCAGTCAAGTGACAAGTGCTAGGAAAACAGAAGCCTTTACAGCAGGGGTAGGCAACCTGTGGCACAGGTGCCGAAGGCGGCAAGCGAGCTGATTTTCAGTGGCACTCACACTGCCCGGGTCCTGGCCACCAGTCTGAGGGGCTCTGCATTTTAATTTAATTTTAAATGAAGCTTCTTAAACATTTTGAAACCTTATTAACTTTACATACGACAATAGTTTAGTTATATATTATAGACCTCTAGAAAGAGACCTACTAAAAACATTAAAATGTATTACTGGCACGTGAAACCTTAAATTAGAGTGAATAAATGAAGACTCGGCACAGCACTTTTGAAAGGTTACCGACCCCTGCTTTACAGTTTTAAGAACTTAAGGCAAATGTTCCAAATGGAAAAATAAGTTGGTTGCAGCAAGAAAAAATATTTTCTCAAAAACAATGAAAAGGTAGTGTGACAATGATGAAAATGGTCCCTTGTGGCCATGAAATCTATAAGTCTGATTACAACAACACTGCATACAATATTATTGGGGGTCAGTAATGACATTGCAAGAACAAGACTCCATATGGAGATTTACTTTGTTTCACCTCAAAATAAGGTTTTTCTCCTTCTGTACGTTATTTCTACTGACCCACAGATAGAAATGGCACAAATCAAACTAACGTTCTCTTTTTAAAATTAAAAAATAGGCAGGCCAAAAGCTATCTTTTAATCAAACCAGAGCTAAGTGATGCAATTACTCTGATAGCCACATGGAAAACCCTCACACTATTTGAAGACATTCCTCCTTGCTAATTCTAAATTCAAACAAAAAGTGACACTGTGTCCTGGGTAAAGCGCTTTGTTTTTTATGCCAGAACTTAAATTTATGTTTATGTTAATTTCAGACTTACTCATTATTTAATTCTAAAGCTTGATATGCTGCTTTGATTCGGGCTTGAGGGTTTCTCTCTCGCCAGGCCTTCTGCATAACTGTGGGAAAAATGTTTTAAAACAGATCATGAATAGAAATGCTTATGTATGAAATATATAGTTAACCATCCACAAAAACTAGAGCTTTTTAAGAAGTAACACTGAGGTAATTTATACATCAGCTTCACTTGACCAACAATCATTTGTACTCTGAGCTTGACTCTATTCTTCCCTCAGACCCACACAGCAAAAGGAGATTTAAATTCTGAGGAAAGTTTCTTCCACCACCAACTGATGACACTTGTGACACATCTCATTAGATTACAAATTCCACTTAAAATGGGAATATCTACAAGGAGATTATTCATTGTTCATTTAAAACCTCATTTGATATGCAAATCACATAGTTCCTGTGCACATACAGACTGGTGTACAATTCCTCGATTGGTGCACACTGTTTTTTGTGTGCATTGACAGTTGCCCTGGCACAGACCTGCATGAAATCCTAATTTTTGTTTTTTATTGACAATACTTTTATTTTAAGGAAAGACATGATAAAACAAATTATTGTTGTTCTGGTGCAGTTTTGTTGTGTTAAAGCTGTTATTTAATAAATTATAAATGGTTAAGCAATTCCTTTTAAAGTTGGGGTTAGAAAGCAAGAGCAAATTCGACTGGCATAACATGTTACAGCCGATTCAAAATATACTATTACTGTTTATCATCTTGTTGAAAGGTGCTACGAAGCAGCTAAAAATACACAAAGATCAGAACATGCTCTTTATTTAAACTATGTTTGAATCTAGGAGGTTTGTCTGAATTATAATTTTCTGCAAAAGAATTACAGCAAGAGGAGGAGTGGGAAGAGAACCAATTCAACAAAGCACATCTCTGGACAATATCAGCCCCCATTATGAAAAATTTAAGAACCCAAATTTAAGAGCCCACTTTAACCAAAAGAAGGGCAATGTTCTTACCACTACCATTTCCTAGGCAGAATTAGAGTCTTCACACCCAACAACATTTCTGAAAAGACTCCAAAACTGTTGGTTCATGGAACGGAATATCTGGCCTCGCTCAAGTTTGATAAGAAAAACTGGAGAATCTATACATGTTTCTTTTGGAACAAAAACTGCAACTGTCCAGTAAGAATAATGTGGAAAATATTTGAGTTTTCCTTTGGAAACAAAATATTAGTCTTGGCTTAAAAGACGAGACAATATACTCCATTTGTGCAACAAAAATACATTCCTCATATCAAACATGTCACCAGCTAGCTGACAGCTAACACTTCCTGAACTTGACAAATTGATAAGAGTTAGCACCTCATCTGACAATAGCCAGGTAGGGCATACTAACTGTACAAAAATGTTGTAACATTACAACACACTTAAAGAGACATGCCTGTTCATTAGTTATGGCCCCAACTGTGAACTTCTTTAAAGACATTAAACTAGTGGAGAACACAGTCCAGGTTTTAAAAATATATAATTAGAAAAAACAACAACCCTGTAACAGCTAATTTATGCATCATCCTAAAATATTTGGTTTTCTATATGCACTGCGAACCTCACAGCAAGCAGAGACAGCACAAGATCTCCCTTTTCACCAAACTGTGCAGCACTGTTTACCTCCATGAAGATGTAAATGTAATCAAAGGGAAAGTCCTGTGGGCTAGTTTAATAAGAAACTGATTGAAGACAAACAAGGAAAGATGTTATTTTCAAACTTCTGAAATGTATTACAAACAACGGAGTAAACAAAAACAAGAGTCTCTCACCATATCCCTTAACAAATGTAATTCTGTAATCTATACTAAAATACCAAGTTGCAACCATAGATCTATTATATGGCAAGAGGTTTAGTCCTGTATTGTGGATGCCAAACCATCTTGAGCTGAAAACTCATCAGATCTCAAGCTAAGCAGGGTTGGCCACAGCCTGTTCAATGGGAGAACTCCAAGGAATATCTAGGTCAGAGGTTCTCAAACAGTGGTCCGTGAGCTCCAGTCAGGTGGTTCATGGATAGTCCCTGCTAAGGTGCATGCCTGGGCAGAATGAAGAAGAGAGAATGAAGGGCCACCCACCTAATTAGTGGAGCCAGGCCTGCCAGGACCCTGGAGAAGACGCAAATGTAAGGTGAGGTGGTGGCCTTGGGGGGAATAGGGGGTAGGTGGGAGGGGGCAGTGGGTCAGAAGAGGGGGGTGGGGGGAATTTGGGATGTGCAGGGATGTGGCGGCCAGAAAAAGAGGTGACTTTCCCCCGTTCCAGGGCTGCGGCTGCTGGGGAGAGACAGCCCTCCTTCCCAGCCTCAGCTCTGTGGCTGCTGTGGTGGGGAAGAGACCTCCCTACTTTCCAGCCCCAGCTCGGGTGCTGCCGTGGCAGGGGAGAGAGGGCACATCAATTGCATTAGAAAGGTAAGGTTACTGATATTAAAATGTAAGTTGTGTGCTTTTATCTGTAGAACAAAAAAAATGTTAATTATTATTAAGGTTTTTTAATATAGTGCTTTTATCCAAAGTGCTTTACAATAGTTAGCTAATGATACAAACAACATTAAGTGGTCCACTGAGACCCTCAGCAATTTTCAAGTAGTCTGTGAAAAAAAGGTTGAGAACCACTGATCTAGGTGATGCAGGAAGCAGGGTTGCCGCTCTTCTTTCTGAGTCAGTATTGAACTAATGACCAACCACAGTACTGAGGGCAGAATACTGCTGAGGGGACCATTTTTCAGGAGACCAAACTATGATACTAAGCATGTCGTAGAGTCTAAAGCACCTTTTGCAAAAACAGGAACATTTTCACAATTTACTATTTCATATACGCAACACACTGTGTTTAGTGTGTCTTTCATCCAAGGATCTGAGTGTTTAGGCAAACATGAAGCCTCATCATACTCCTGTAAATTACATTGGCATTATTCCCAATTTACAGATGAGTGAACTGAGCCACAAGACGGGAAGTAGCTTGCTCAGAGTTACAAAGTGAGTCAATGGCAGAGTTTAGGAATCGCTGTAAACCTCTAGACTGCACTCCCTATAGAACTCAGAAGTGTATCTATCACTAAACATATTTTGTACTCCCTACATTGCAGAATTATGCAGTTATTACTTTATAGGTTTCTGCTCAGTAGTTGGGATCGCCTTATGGTGAATATTTCCAATATACTTTAGATATTCCAACTGTTCCATCTTTCCCACATACACCCTTGTTTTCATGCAGAAATAGCTAGTACCTGTATCTGAAGGCCGAAGAGAGTCTGTGTCACACGTGAAAAAGGTCTGATGATCCTGAGCAGACAAATTCATGTCGTAGTATGTAAGCGGTTCCTTCCCAGTCACCCACGTGTACCTTTAGCAAAAGACAAGAAAAGTCTCAAAACCTGTGTTGTAACAGCTGGTACAGTGGGATGTCTGATGTCTTCAGAAACTGAGGTTAGCACTGAAGGGTCATTTGTTATGTGCATTTTCTAATCATAAGATTGCAACACCAGTGTTCTGTACAGGTTGCCAGAGGGCTTCCTGGTGAAAGGCAATGCATGATTTTTTAACCTAAAAGCCAGAATGGCTTGGCAACTGCCTGTTTGAGAAATGCTTTTATCCCTTTGCAACAGGGTCACAGTTCTGGACAACGACAATGCTCGAGCTGAAACCACCACTCTATAAAGGGGAGTGTGGTTCCACTAGGGTGTTCTATATGACAGAATCTCTTCGGAACTCATTCCTCGAGCTTTGGAATGAAATAGCCCAAATCTGACAGCTTTCAGGGCACGCTGCAAAGCTCAGATCTTTTCGAGTTTGCAGATATTTTAGAATTTTGGAGAAAGAGGGTTGTGATGAGCACTGGAACGGCTGTTTCTTTGCTTTGGGGAAGCCACAGAGTTTACTTTGTTTGCACAAATATTTGTATTTCTAATATGGGATGAAGGCACCTAGAGCACTGGACAGATTTTTTTAAGGGTAGGACTGGTATAAATCCCAACAATTACCCATGATGCTCTTTGGATCTCACCATTATTTCCAAGAAGTGCAAGGATGAGAGCTCTGGCAACAAGTTAAAAGGTCTGTGCAGCCTCTAAGTTCATTTCCACAGCTGCTTGTTACATTGAAAATAAAATGAAATTAATACCTGCTATATTCTGCTCCTCTGAAAAGATTAAGAGGGTTTCTCCATACTTTGCACTCTGCAAAATGAAAGAGCACTACTTCAAGTTTGAATCAAGTTCCAAAACTAATCCCTTGTCTTTACACAGCTACAGCCCTTTCTGTAAAATCCACATAACTTCAATTCATTCCCTGATCACTTTCTGCTGGACATGACTTGTGCAAAGCCAGAGTTTTCCAGCATTCCTGTCATACAAAAGCACTTGGAAGAAGGGTTAAACATTGCACGAGAATAACCAGAGCAATGCTCAAACTGTATAATTTTGGAGCCTGCAAACTGTAAAATTTTGGTGTCTGCAAAAGCCTGGTATTACTGGGACAATTCAGTGGTGTGTTTCAGTCTATTTTTTGCATTCAAGCTGTGTATTAATCTCTTGACTTAAACTCTTATTTCTAATAATTATGTAACATACTAGGCAATACATAGGTTCTTTCTTTCAGCAGTTCTAACAAATGCAACGATATTCACAAAGCAATTCCGGATTTTACTTCACTGATTACCATCATCATTTCGCTTTACTTCTGCTACTCTCTCGTGCTGATGGTCCCAAATGAGAGAACATCTTTCTCTGATTGTTACTATAGGCCCTAACGGGACGTCAAGACCGTTCTAAGACAGAAATCCAACTAGTTTGAACAAATCTTTCTGGGTTTAGGGGTGACACTTAACATGTCTCTGCAAAGCCAAAAGTTAGAAGCAATTACCTGACAAACTCTGCCTGTTTGTCTCGTTTTCTCCATTGTTGGCTGAAAAACCTGGCACCGGAGGACTATTCTCTACTCCTCCAATGAGTGGCCTCAAATGGCTCACAGACACCTGCTCAATGAAAGAGGTGCCATATTTTTGGAAGTACCACCATTCGAATATCTGCAATGGGAACAAGAGAAAAATTGCACCCAAATGTTTCACTAGACAACAATTTACCAGTATTCACAACAGACATGAAACAAAAAAGTGAGCCATGTGGACATCCCTTTGCAACTGATTACAGACACTATTTATCTATATAAAATATTGTTAATTTTTGTATCTCCTTCCACTAAACAAGAGAGACATGGGTCTCCCCAAACAATGTGGGAAGAAAAAACATTAAGAAATTTATCAGATTTTAGCCAAATAATGGATTAACATCCACAAAAGTATGCTAACTTCTGAAGCAATTTTAACAAATAAGGTGTCTGGATCCTGCAACCCTTACTTTAGCACATAGTCAAGGGGACTTTCCCCTGGAAGTAAGGACTACATGACTGGGCCTAGCTTTGGGTTTCATTCGTCCAAATTCACCTTTTTTGCCCATTTGGTATCACCTGCAATATGCTTTGTTGATAGCATGTGAGAGTCCAGGGAGGAAAGTCGTTCATTTATGAGATGTTTAAGGTCAAGAGTGGTTTTTTTCTTCTTCTTTCCTCCTGTAGGCCTTATGAGACATTTATATATCATGATCTCCAAGAGTTACAGTAGAGGACCACCCTAGACCAATTCATCTGGGTATTTCCATCAGCATGAAGAGATAAGTCACATTCAAATACACGGCATTCCTATTGTGAAATGTTGCAATAACTCATCCATTTTAAATGTCAACAAAAAATCCACTTTTTTCTTTAAAGCGGGGATTTTTCTGTATCTTAACTATGTAAAATGACTAGGGCAAACAACATCATCCATTTCCTTCTTAAACAGCTCTTCCCAAATCCCCTATTCAGAACTCACAATCCACATTTTTCCTGCAGCTATGGTAAACAAATTGCTTCCTTCACATAAAAAAAGATTTTTCTTTTAGCTTTAGCCACACAAAATGTCTGCTAAACACAGCTTCAGCATATTCTGGTAACTGTGTGTGATATCTGACAGTGAAAGAATGTTCCAAAAGGCCCTTATCCTGCAACCAGATCTGCCCACACAGATCTGATTGCAGGATCAGAGCCTGAAATCTCAGATGGCTAAAGACCTATCAGAGTTCAGCAAGAATAATTTCTTTTATAGCCCAAACCCTCTCCCCCACCAGCCTCTCTTTAGATGTAACTTTTTAGTGAACTTAGTGCTGGTGAAACATCCAGAATGGCTTTCACCCTCCAAGGCAATCAATTTGTCCAAAGAACATGTGCAATGTTGCAGCAGCGCAAGCCTTCTCTGCGCACACCACCAGTCCCTCACCCATGACTTGAAGGGACCGCTTCCAATGGTGAGAGAGGTGGTCAGTCTTCATGGTCTGGCTGCTGAGACTGCCAATGAGAGAATGCCAGTTGTGGCAGTGGCTTTGTGATTCAGTCCCTTTCCCAATGGATAGTTTGTATTTTTCCTCTTTAAAACACAGGAAATTATATGCAATATTGAAGGTTGAGATTCAATTAGCACAGGATTCAGGAAATTCAGAGTTAAGGTTGTTGTGGGAATCATACCTATGCCCTCTTCAGGTAACAATGGATAGAGTCCTGTGTATCAGAAACTACCGAGGAGTCTTAGTTTCTTTTACAGTATAAGGACACCACCTAGAGACTGGTTAGAGAACAGGAGGGTTTCTTGCATCCTCACTTTAACAAGAGACATGCAAAAGCTCTAGTGAGAAGAGGAATCTACTTACAAATATCAGTCCAGATATAAGAGATGAAGTCCCTGTAAGTGCAACGTAGAATTTTGGAGTCAAAGTGCTTAAGAACACAGTCACTGTTAAGAGGGAAGAACAGCACAGTCAATAGGCAGAACTAGAAAATTCCAAACAATATGTTTGAAAGCAACATAAACAACCATATATAGCACACTACACATACACACAACAAAACTGCTTAGGTTTTGCAAGGGCCTTGGTAATGTCACAGATGGAAGAGTACAGCAAGCAGAAAGATGAGACTTAAAAGAAGATACTGTATCAAACATGGCTAGTCTTTGCAATCAGAATGACTCTATACAAATCCTTTGAAAAGACATCTAAATTGTAATGCTCTTGTAAAGGATCTTAACAGTTGCATGGTTACTGAATGAATAAGTAATTTTGACAGACCATATGCTTTATTTTAATTTAAAAGTGAGCTATATTATTTTGATACAAGTTTCTATTAAGTCTTAGCAAGTAAACTGATCAGAAGTTCTGTTTTAAAAAGGCACATATGTTCTATCCTAAACTACCTTAGCCACACAGAATCAATAATCAATCAACAATAAATAGGTGCTGCTATTTCCCAGATATTAAAAAAGGCACAGCAAAACAAAGAGTGCATCAAAAGTTATTATGTTCAAATACATTGCACCGTGTAGATTTACACAGACTTCCATTCCTTGCTATTTATAGAACAGAAGAAACCTCCTAATGTTACCACCCTGAGTGAATCTCACATTTCCAGGTAAGAAAGGCATGTTTGGTCTGCGTTGTTCTACTAATCTACTGCACGGAAGCAGTAACAGAGAAAACTAGAATCATATAGCACCACCAACTGGAGTATTATATAACAGAGATAGCCTCTGTTTCCAATGTCCAATATCTCTGCAGGCTGAGGATATGCTGAGTTTAATACTGCAGGTTGAAAATGGACTTCTGATAAAACCTAAAAACCTAATTTAAACAGTGGCCAACAGCTAAATGGAAAAACAGACACAAGAAACATCCAGTTTTACCTTTGAAAAGAAACTAGTACACATGCAGGAAGAGTGACAAGCGTTATGCTGGAATCACAGCAAGGGTTGCAAGCAGAAAATGAACTCTCTTTTAGATGAGGATGCTATTAAAGTAACAGTGTAATTTCTCTAACTATAATAAAATCCTGAATTCAGCTTCACACCAAAATGTTGAAATGCTAATTCCTAAGTAAACATGCTCCTGGGGAGAGAAGAATTCATTTGCTGGATTTTTAAATAGATCAACAGACAGAAAAGCAGCAATACGATCATCAGTGTATTTAAAAGGGCAGGCAAGAACATATTTAACTTTCACTGGAAAGTCACAAGCCAGAATCAGAGCGCATAACGTCAAAACTTTTTTTGCACAAATAATCTGTCTTTTACAGCTGTGGAGAGAGACACTAAATATACATGCATCCGAAGAAGTGGGCTGTAGTCCACGAAAGCTTATGCTCTAATAAATTTGTTAGTCTCTAAGGTGCCACAAGTCCTCCTGTTCTTCTTTTTGCGGATACTAAATATACTGACTACCTAGCTGTTGGCTAAAGAAAACTGAGGCAATCATCAATTGCAGACTTCTCTGGAAGAATTAATTTTAAGGAGCAGGCGCACCACCTTCATAGCATAAACCTATTTAACCAGCCACTGACCCTCAGTAAAGGAGAGATGGAAGAAAGAAACATCTGATGACAGCAAGTCTGTAGCCTATGTAGTTCAGCAATAAATGTCATGGTCTAGTGTTCCTTCAGTTTTTAAATGATACTTGTGACCACTGCAGTTTCACCAAATCTTTACCTATTTCTAGATCTTTAACTAGAAAACCATATTGTTCTCAGAAATGTGACAAAAGGACCGCTTTGAACACTAGACCAAATTTGTGTGAAACTCCCACAGCTCAGAGAATCTTACAGACTCAAGAAAAACATCAATTTTCATCTAGTCTTCTCGCCCACATGCAATAAAGCAGACTAAAGAACCCCTTTGTGGGACCAGCTGGGATGTAGTGTTGAGTTATTCCAGAGGATGCCCAACCACAGGTGACATTCCAAACTGAGCTGAAATGATGGATATAAGGTAACCAGTACCTTCAAACTGACTGTGGCACAACCAAAGAACATGACCTAACAGTCACCAGCCACCATTCCAATACAAGAACATTTTTGTTACCAAATGGTGATGCACCATCTCCCAAATAACTCAAAACCAGGGCCAGAAGGGACATTTCCAGTTGCATCAAACAAAACATACAATATTGACAAACTGCAGAGGAAATTTTAATTCCTGAACATCTCTACGATTTGTTAAGTGAATTTCAAAGCACTGAGCTTGAGATGCTATCAAGTATTCCATAGCCTATGATTACCTAAGGCCCAGTAAAATCCTTCTAATTGACATAGTTCATAGGAAATAAACATGCCAATTAAACCATCAACCCAACTCTCCCCAGGCCAAGAGGAAACCATGGCAGTGGTAGATATTCATTTTTATTTCTTGAACTGCTTTTTACATAAGCATTGTACAAAGTATTAGAACATTTTCAAAATCTATGTTAAGGTAAATGTGTCTTGTCTGATAGCCACAAATAAGAGCCAGAAAGCAGTCTGCAGTGGAGGGACACAAAAACCTTGTCTACGCTAACAAGAGTTACCCACTGTTAATAAACGATTTATGCAACAACTGCAGTTGAAACAGCACTGAACACAACTTAACTGCAAGTTCAACCAAGAACAAACTACATGGAGGACAATTTTGGAAACTGAAATTGGGAATTTTTGTTAGGCAGGGCAGAAATTGGAAGTTAGTACCAGAAAGCTATAATTCATAATGATTAATGTTATGAGACTGCAGATATTAACAAAAGGGTGAGTGACTTCATCAAATGAATATCTGTTCCTTAGCCAGGGTCCCAATCGTGCCTTGTGCAATTTATTAAGGGGCTCATCAGGGAATGGCCAAGGCTTGTTGAGTTTGTTCCCAAAATTAAGGCTGACAGTAATAATTAATATCTTGTAAACAGATAGCTTCAATCCAGCCAAGAATTTCCAAGTATTTTACAAGTGTTATACAGCACTTGAAATATTTATAAGACACCAATTGTCTAGGAAGGAGCTAATACAAAAAGATGAGGCTTGTACCACACCCAACAAGAGGTGTTAGGACACCAACCCCATTCCAGCAGCTGAAGAGCATGCAGAGCTTCTTTCCAAGTGCTCATACGCTCAGGAGGTTCCATCTTTGGTATCAGCCTCTGGCTAATAATTAACTAATAAAACTGAAGAGTGAAGCCTTTTCCCATTTTCCCCGGCTCCTGGAAGACAAGAGAGCTTTCTCCCTTATTTCCACAGCTAATTGCAGCATCCTCTGTCAGATGCTGTCCAGAACCCTATGGGCTGAAATGAAACTCAGACTGGGTCAATTTCACCCAGTTTGGACATCAACTTGAAATGCTTTCATCTGAAGGGGGGGGAAATTGTGAAAGCAGTTACAATTCCTTCACCTGCCCGAGTCTCCCTGAAAATTGTCATTTTATAGTCACATATTCCAACCTTAAAAAAAAAATCTTCCATGCTGATGTATGAAAGATCCACACAAAGAAAACTGTACACAAAAAGCTGCCAAATGCACAAAGTAAACACACTAGAAAACAAGAGGAAAAGCATTGTTTCTTCTAGACTCTTTCAATTCTGGACATGTTAAATGTTACTTGAAACAATAATGGATAGGCCCCTACAAATTCATGGACATGAAAAACGAGTCACAGACCGTGAAAGCTGGTCTTTTACATGCTTTTACCCTATACTATACAGATTTCATGGAGTAGACCAGCATTTCTCAAACTGGGGTTCCTGACCCAAAAGGGAGCGGCAGGGGGGTTTGCAAAGTTATTTTAGGGAGGTTGTGGTATTGCCACCCTTGCTTCTGCACTGCTGCAGGTGGCAGCGCTGCCTTCGGTGGCCGGAGAGCGGTGGCTGTTGGCCGGGCGCCCAGCTCTGAAGGCAGCGCCCTGCCAGCAGCAGTGCAGAAGTAAGGGTGGCACAACCCTCCCTACAATAACCTTGTGACCTTCCCCCCCACACACACTCCTTTTTGGGTCAGGACCCCTACAATTACAACACTGTGAAATTTCAGAATTAAATAGCTGAAATCATGAAATTTACCATTTAAAAATCCTATGACTGTGAAATTGACCAAAATGGAGGGTGAATTTGGTAGGGCCCTAGTAACAGGTAAAGACATTTTTAAACAGAAGGGCTGGTGTCCTCGAAAGTATCATGCCCAACCCAACATACAGAGCACATGAAACTAGCAGTGTTTTTGTTTCCAGTAGTGCCCACATGTAATTAACAACCAGGCCTAAAACCCTGAAGAACTGATGGTCTATCCTGTGCTTTAGTGATAGGACTATCCAGAAAAGCAAGGGTAGCTTCCTGCTCCATTTTTCTGGGCTGCACTTGACAGTCTGCTGCAGCTGGTTTCTTTACAATGAACACCAACAAAACAAAGAACAAATCCCAATTATTTATAGATTTTGACAAGATTAGAAGAAAAGAATATTTCTTCCCCACCCACCCTGTTTGTTTACTGTGTGCATATGACAGTTTTGTAAATGCTACAATCAGTGTCACTACTTGGGGGGGAAGGATCTTTCACATATCAACAAGGGGGGTGGGGGTAAAAAACCATCAATGTGACTGTAAAACCATGGCAACTATCAGGGAGCCTCAGCAGTCAGGTTCAGGAGGAGCAAACCGAGAGGAATTTGGGGCTGACACGACTTGAAAACTTACAGTACTTTTATTTGGAATTAATGACATTTCTCATGACGGGTGGCGCCTCAGAAACCTCCGCTGGGCCCATAGGAGATTGGACAAAGGGGTCAGAAACCAAAAGCAACTACCTACAGGTAATATCCCTCCTGCCTACCCCACCCCAGGGAGCCCATCCCCCATCCCGGGGGAACCCTCGCCCCCCCAAACGTGTTCCCCCAGACGCGCCCCCCCAGT